AATATTATAGGTTTTGGAGTTTTTAACTCAGGTATAGGTCAATATTATTGTCAATGCATTCTGAAAAATACTCCGTGGTACTTACATAACCTTTCTGGACCAACTATTACATATTATTTCCTGTGGAGATACCTAAACCACGAGATATTAAATCCGCAGGATTATGGTTTGTTGATACATATTTCCACGAATATGAATTAGTTAACTCCAATATTTGGTAAATACGATTCGCAACAAATGTTTTTATTACGTTAAGTGGAGTAGGTAGGTACCTACTTATCCATCTTAAAACAACAGTAGAATCGGTCCACAAAATGCAATTATCAAATTGAATTCGAGACGATTTGAGTACTTTATTTACTAATTCTAAAAGTAATTATACTGCACCACAAAGCTCAAGTTTGGGTATTGTTAATTCTTTAACTGGGGCAACTCTGGACTTTGCTGCAAGTAAATGAATTTGCACATTTCCAAATTTGTCTGCTGATCTTATATACCAACAACCACCTTATGCTAAACGACTAGCATCGCAAAAACCATGCACATCATTTATAATTGAATTCGGTAACCGTGTACAGCGTGGTACTTTCAGATTATTTAATATTTGCAAATTCTCGTTGAATTCTTTCCATTGAATATATAATTCATGTGGTAAGGGTTCATCCTAAGATAATTTAAATTGCCACAAATTTCGCATAAAAATGTTTGTTTTACATATTACGGGTGCAATTAGTCCTAATGGATCAAAGAGTTGAGCGATGTATGATAATACATTTCTTTTAGTCAGTGTATTTGGAATTAGGGTTGTATCAATTTTAAAACATAGTGGATCCTGGTAATGTAACCAAGGTAATCCAAGAGTTTTTAATATGTTAGAAGAACTATCTGAAACTGTTAGATGTTCAATACTTTTATATAACGAATTACTAATACTTTGAATTATTTCGGAGCTATTAGATGTCCACTTATACGTAACGGCATTTTTGCAGATTGTAATATGTTATAAATGTCCTTTGATGTTTGAATTAATTCTTGGACAGAATCACATCCGGTTAATAAATCATCTACGTAGAAATCTTGAAGTATAGCTATGGAAGCTTTCGGAAAAATTGCTTGTGACTCTAATCCAAGTTGATGCAAACACCGTATTGCTAAAAAAGGTGCGCTTGATGTTCCATAAGTAATTGTATTTAGTTTATAAGTTTTAATATTATCTTTTGGATCTTCTCTCCAGAAAACTAATTGAAATTGCCTATCTTTATCATCAACAAGTATCTGCCTGTACATTTTTTCTATGTCTGCACTTACAACAAATAAATTCTGTCGAAAACGAATCAAAATTGAAAATAAATCTGATTGAATAGTCGATCCAACCATTTGTAAATCATTTAGTGACTTACCAGATGAAGTTGGTGCAGATGCGTTAAAAACGACACGCAGTTTTGTTGTTAAACTTGATTCACGAGTTATTCCATGATGTGGCATATAATTTGGAGTAAAAGGTTCCGACGTAAGTAGTGTCATATCTCATATATGACCTAATTGAATATATTCTTGCATAAATTCATTATACTTCTTTTTTTAGATTAAGATTTCTATTGAACCTTCTTTCTAAACATTGAAACATTTTTAATGCATAATTTTTCGAGTTTCCTAAATGTTGTGTTGTACAATCCTTAAAGGGAATTCGTACAATAAATTGTCCTGAAGTATCACGTTTGTACGTAGATTTAAAATGATCTTCGCACAATGTTTCTTCTTTTGACCATATACACAAATATTGGGCACCGAGTCCAACTCCCAAAATTTTGCAAGTTGTTCTTGTAATATAAACTTTTCTGAAACCTTCACTACATTACACGCAATAGTTTGATCATTTTCTTTTGAATTTATTGATCCTGAAATAATCCATCCTAAAGAAGTACTGCAGTATAATAGGTTTATTAAAACCTAAAGAAATTTGACCTATGCACGCAATAAATGAAAAAAAAAAAAGATGCGCCGATTAATAAATCTACATCTTGCGGTTCGTAATAATTTGGATCCGCTAGCTCTACATGATTAGGTATTTTTAAAGAATTGTTTATTAATCTATCAGGTAATCGTCCTGTAATCTTAGGCGTAATTAAACAAGAAATTGTTGTAATAAACGAATTAATTCGCGATTTATTTTGTATATTGCTCACTGAATTATTAATTCCTATCACAGATATTCTTGTTGCAATTTATGATTGACATAATTTATTAAACATACTCTTAGTAATAAAGCATGATTGTGATCCTGAGTCCAACAAAGCTCTACAAGCAAAGATATTACCTTGGGCACTCATCCCAATATGTACTACCACAGTTGAAAGTAAAATATTAGAATGATTGCAATTACTGCTAATAGTCATACTTATTTCTTCAAAATCAGATACTTCATCATTTTCCTGAAATTCTGAAATACCTATGTCCCACATTTACTGGAGTCACTTCTTCGAAATGTAACAGTGTATGATGACGTTTATGGTGATTTTAAATATTGAAATTTCTGCACATTAGAAAGATTTGAGTTACTATCTATAATTGCTGAAAAGCTGTCACGAAACTCCAACCACATATTCATGTCACCATTAAACTTTGGTAGCGTTAATTCTGGCAATTTAACATACAGTGACATTGGCATATTTACAGAGGTTGACGGCAAGACATTTTTGCTTTTGCTTTAGAAACTGCTGAATAAAATAAAGTTTCAAATTCATTAAGCTCTTCAACATTATTTGTAGAAGTCGACCCTAGTTCTTTTAGCTGAAGATGAATATATGAGGAAATTTCTCAAGTATATTTTCAATTTTATCGATACGTAGTTTAGGCTCAGATTTATTGAAATCGTCTACATCATTAATGTATGATGAAAAGGCATTAAGCTTGTTATAAAGAAATTCTCGTTTTACTGAAAGGGATTTTACATATGCTTTATTTTTATTTGACATTACTGGTCAAAATAAAATTCAGTGCGTTATGAATTATTTCAAAGCAAATTAGAATGATCACTCTTACCTCGCAACAGAAATTCAGAATTTGTGGAAAAGATATTTGGTCGTTGACACTATTAGGTGATCCGCAAATGGACAGATATTGGCTACCGATTGAATATTGTTGGTACGAATCGAAGAATTGGCGATTCACGTTGTTTATTGCTTCGGTAGAATTGATTCTACGTAAAGCATGAGGTCGCTTTTTGCTCGGGCGCCAAGTGTTTCTTCTTGCAATTAAGAATGAGAAAAATCTCAAAAAATACGTTTTCAATTATGTTTATTTTGGAAACAACAAAACAAAACTTTTTCGTTACTCTAAAATATATAACTTGATTTTTAATCAAATTGCACCAACACTTACAACCTTGGTATTATTGTCGTGAATATCACGTTCACAAAAAGTAGCAATATTACCAATATTTTCACGTAAGGAGAGCCAGAAATACTAAACTTTTAATTCCGTAGCGTCGCTCACGCTTTTTTAACGATATAAACGTGTTTGGCAAAAAAATACGTTTTGTGCTACTTGAGCAGACGAATTACAGAACTCATACCTGTACTTATTGTTTTTAATTGACTAATAAATAGCTAATTTGTTTATTATGTATTATCTAATACTCTTTCACCTCCACTGCAAATACATAAATATTTGCATAATGGTAAAATTTATGCAGTGGATATGAACAAATTTATATGTCCTATGGAAAATGCATCTGATAACAATGGGTGTACCTGTACGTATGGATATTCAATGGCTATTTATAGCAGATCTTTTCATGACAATTATAGGTCACGTCCATTGGAGGTACGCTGCACCTCCATAAGGTTACATATTTATGAACATTTATAGAACGTTACTCCTACATCAATATTTGGTCTACGATACATTTGTACTACTTAGGTATTATTGCAAGTAATGATGGTGATATTCCTCCTCACTGTCATAGACTTTAAATTGTTGGGCACATACGCTGCGGATGCTGAATGGAACCGCAGCTAGGTAAAAATCAATAAACAACAGAATAAAACACATGCTGAAAGCAGTAGGTATGCGAAAGTTTGTGGGAGAAACAGAAATAAAACCATATTAATATCTAATGGATTGGAATAAAAAGAACTGGTACGATTGTATTTAAAATATTGCATGGTATATTGTAAGTATATTGATTAACTTTGAATTGCAAGATAAGTATTACTTTAGAACTACAGTTTAGTACACAATTCCTTAATTAAAAAGCTACTCCTACTCCCCTTTCTGTCGCATTCTTAGTTGGAACAATATAAATGCTTTCAAATTAGGGTCAGAGATATTTCTGTCAATGTCTTGAAGAGCGTGCTCGCCCCCGTCTTGGTAATATTCGCTCAGCTTATCTGCGTAGTCGATCCATACACAATTATGACATCCCGACATGCAGCAAGTAGTTGGCACTTCAGGTAGCTGCTTGACCTTTGCCTCATTAGACTTATCGTTTTGGTCTGTAATGCTTTTAGAAGCATAAATTACGTTTAATTTCTGACGAGTTTTGCCTGTTACGTAAGCACTTATACTGCAATTTCATGTTTTATTAATGTACTTACAATGACGCAAAATCGCTATCATAACTCACTCGCGATTATTTAACAAAGTGTGGTTAGGTTTGTCAATCAGTAAGTACCAACCGACAAATTTGGCGGGAAAAACTGCATATTATATTCGTACATTGACTACGGGGATTCAAAATGGACTCGGCTGGCTATGCTAAAATAATACTTTTACAAGTATAAATTGCGTTTAAATCATATATTTAAACCACGATTAGATTAATCAATAATAACTACCAACCGAAAATTCTAGAAGTAGCTGTATTGTGTGTTGCCTATACTAACACATTGATTAGTCACAGATTAAGATAACCGTAATCCGAATGCTTCCGACTAATTCAAAATTCCCACTCTTCTCTTTTGAATACAAACTTAGGCCAGTCAGTAGTCAGTGTTTACCGCTATTTCGAACGAATGAATTGTATAACATGATTCTGGATCGAAAACTTCGCTTTTAAACGTCATGTTTGCAACAGAAACTTTTCGTTTTATAATAATTTATTTAATTTATTAATCGCAATGACGTGTTCGCATGCTTTATTGGTATTTATTTTTGTAACCGCGCGAGTTGATTGTTTTAATTTGGAGAATAGAGATCCCATTGTAAAACGTGGAGTTGCTGATACTTATTTTGGATTTAGCGTTGCTCTTCATAAGTCTGAAATTAGTTCGGATATAAAGCATAGTTGGTAAGTATTTTTCCCCTTCGCTTGTTTACGCATAAAATGCCTATTTTCGAATGTGACGTAATTCGATAGCGAAGATCAACAAGTACTTTCAGGTGAGTTCCGCGAAAAATGAATAACTTTTGTAAGAAAAGTAGCTTGACTCACTCTACGAATATGATTTTTTTGGAATCTGGCTCCAATGGTGGTCTTATTCATTTAAATCTAATTTAAAGAGAAAATTATTAGGAAGGATTGGATCTTTAATCATCCAGAAGCGCCAATCATTGTTTGCCGCAAGCGGCTTGAATATTGGCCAATTACCTACAAGGATACGATATTCTTAGAACTTTCAACTTTGTTTGAAAATTAACAATTTCTGAGATTATTCGTACTAGCTAAATTTTTTTATCAAAAAGTAGATAACTATACTTAGATAAATGGGTCATCTTTAGATTACCAAATCAATGTTTCTTTACATAAGGACATCGGCAAACCCAGAGAAATCCATTGGGTGACCACGACTGGTTGGAAATGTTTTCATACTAGTTCGCCTACATGTCTTATCGTTAATTACAGTCGTACTGAATACAAAAGATTTACATTTTCTTTGTAGTGCAACAAGCAGCATATAAACAACGGTCGCACCTGTTAAAAGGCGAGGTTTCCTACCCCTTACCACGTTTCTCCAGCACCCACACTTGTACCTGTACATATTTACTCAGAACAACTCATTAATCGCCTTAATGAAACTTTATCAGCCGCATTGAATTCATCAAATCCATGGAAGAAGAAACCGGTTGCAATTATTTATTTATTTATGCGCGGGATGATTGTATAATATGTTACAAAAGAAAAACGGAATTGAATTAATTTCATTGAGTACCCCGCGATTGTATGTTAATGTTTAAATTACGCATACACATCATTAGACACAATGAACTGTGATGTCTGTCTGACCTGAAACCTTAACCTTGTGTATCATTTTCATTAGACTTAAAGTGTAACACTACACTAAGCGGGGAAAGTAATTGCAAGTACTATAATTATTATTGCAATGAGTATTATGGGAAACGTTCTGAACTCTTGAACTTATGGAAATGTGTAGGCGCTCCGGCTTGTTGGAGTCAACACCCAATGGGTTTTCATTGTTTCTTTTAATAACAGCTGCTATGCTCGATAGACTTGTTAACTTTTTGGGCCATAAATAGTCGAAGTTGCGTTGAAATCTCATTGTGTTAGACAAACAATGGTCGCATAACAATATGTAATAAAGAATGATAAAAAAAGGAACCTAATTGCGAACATATTTAAATATTATTACAGCCGCGGTCTGATCGATTTGTTAGCGTCGTTAATTTAAATTGAAAAGTGTCTTGGCTTCAATTACTGTTTCAATTCAAGCCTCTAGCTTACTTGGATGTCGATGACCATTTGTTCTTGTGCGTGTGTTGCAAATCTGTATCGCTTTATAGTTAGTGGTTTTTCCCCGCACAATTTGAAATTCAAAAGTGCATTGTACGTCAAGGAGACGAATGTTAGCCAATAATTTACACCAGGGCAGATTGCACCCTAAATTGCAAATATGAAATAAACCAACAATCAGTATAGGAACTATGGTATCTGTTTTGACCAATTTCACGAGATCGGATGAGCAGTTAGGAATAGTTAAGGTCTTAAAGGAATAAAATGGAGAAACCTAAACAGTAGCATTTATAATTTTTAAATTCCGGGAATGCCACGTTTAGTAGTGAATGCGATGTGTAATGAAGACGTTCGTGAAGGTATTCATGGCAATCTAAGAAAACATCAGATCTGTCTACAAATGTGTCTCATCGCAATATCACCCCCTTTGTTTCTTATTCTATCGGGAGATAGGAGTCCCGATCTTTCGCACTCTGGTCTGTCTGGGGGTATTCGCATTCGAGTACTATGAAACCCCGCGAAATAAATCCGCTTGTCAATAAATCACGACGACGCAAAATTACAATTTGAAATTATAAAGCGATTCAATCATGAACATAACACTAACACATAAATAAGTAAATATCTTACCAAAAACGATTGACGATAAATGCCACTTTAAGGGCATTTTCACCTTCCAAAAATATTACATTCCGGATAAACTCGATGAATGCATTGGTGGATACAAGTGTGTGGCGTTGGCAAATAAGTTTATGGAGAGATCCATACAAAAATGCAGTATGCAGTCACTCACGAAATATGCAATGTCAATGGTAAGTAAGATTAATCGACCTATAATTGGAAAATTGGAAAGTGTCCAGTCACACTTACGAGTTATGACCCATCGAGGGCGATGCCTTGGTGATAGCCGATGATATTCCCTGGTTGGGACGCGTATTTCTTATTGGAGAACCATAATTTAAAAAGAAGTTTTATTATCATTTATATCGTTAAGCAAGGTATTACCTGTTGTATCATTTTTACCACCCGCACATTAGTAAGGGAGGTATTGCATTGGGGTAGAAAATGCCCCCCACTGTTTTGACGGAAATACACGTTTTGAAGCACCAGGAATCCGAATCAAACAAAATCTCGACGATGTCTGTCCGTCGGTACTCGCATTTCTGGCTAAACGCCTGAGCCGAGGGGTGGCCCACTCTTTTAAATAGGTGTATGTACATACTATTAAATACAAGAAATACAACTAATTCCACTTAAATACTGATAAATACTGTCAAATACTTTTAAATATCAAAAAATACATTAAAATCCCTTTAAATACTAGGTAAATACCCTTAAATCTCTTTAAATTCACGAATTGTTGCTGAAGAATTTTGATGTAAGTTAAAATCAGTTGGGTTGATTTGCTTACGCGGAAGAGATATCAATTATTAACCTGTTTTTTAACGTTTGAAATTAATTCATTTTTAGTACTATGACCACTTTTAGTCTCTTATCAGAAATAAGTGATGATCCTCGTGATGATCTGATCAGTAGTACAAATTGTCAGAGAGAATATTCCAAGAATCTTTAAGAACAATTGTGAAAAATACTTAGGCGATTTTAAAGCTACTCCGGAATATTTTTTACCTTATTTCTACAAATATTAAAAAAATTCGCTATTGTGGCCACTTTGTCCGTCCGTCTGTTTGTCCCCACAGCTTTGTCGCCGCTAGATCTTTATGTCAAGAGCTATTTTTCTACTCTCGGTTCTACTTTTTCGCTATTTGGTTCGTTACGGTGTCGAAGCTTGCACCAAAGAAGGAATTTTTTCTGCGTTTATTATTAAAAAAGTTGTACTATGCGTTCAAAAATGAGTTGCTGTCGAGTAACCTTTGGAATTTTTGTTTCAATGGGAAATCGTACTTAACTTGAACTTCCAAAGGCGACTCGACCGCCACTCATTTTTGATCGCCCGTTAATAAAATAGTATATTAAGATACAAGTGTATAATCAAGTCTTTAAAGCACGCGCAACGAGTTTAAGGGCACGACGCAAAGCGGAGTGCCTTTAACGTTGCAAGTGCTTTAAAGACCAATTATACACGTGTATCTTATAGTATTTTTTATTATACCTGCAGTATAATTTAAAAATCGGAAATACAATGAAGTCATATTGACGTTATACTCGAATACATGTTTAATTAAGTGGGCTGGGTGTTCGAAATTTCACGATTGCCATGGAAATGTCACTTGACGTTTGCTTATAATCATCATAATCTTTGTAAATAAAACGATTTCCGTTGAAAAAGATAATACACCGTCCATTACATCGCTTGTTGTAAAATCTAAACAAAGTTTGGTAGGTGTAAAATCCAAATCCAGTAAAGCCTATTATAAAGAATATGAAAAGTTGTTTCCATGGACGAATAGGAAGTTACTTACGAATACAGTCTTAAATGCATCCCTAATGCTGGCATATATGAAGGAAATGTCAAAGGTATTTAAATATTCTATATTTTGGTGCATTCATTCAAAACTAAAGCAATGCTGCGATTAAAAAGTGGAACAGATTTAGAAGCATACCCTAAATTACGCGCGTTTGTGAAAGCTTCAACGAAAGGATAGGTACAAAAGCCAAAGAAATGTTCTGCCTTTACAGAAAGCGACCTAAGAGGATTTTTTATTTCATCCAGATGACAGTTTCAAAAGTCATACTTGAAGTATCGTTACTTAGCAACTTTAAAGCACGTGTGTTTTAAAGGCCCTTTTTCGCACGCATTTGAGTGTTTAAAACGGAGATTGTGATTCAGGTTATAATAAAAAATCAATTTTTTTCATGTACCATAATTTTACACTTTTGCCGTTTATTGTGCTTATCAATTCTATACGGTAAGATGTTTCTTATAAAATCAAATTGAAATGACAAAAATAAGTAGTGCATGCGCAGTGCTAACTTCTTATTTGTGGCCGAATTTTTACGAAATTTTAACAGAAGTTAAAAATCGAAAATGAACAAACACGTCAAACATAAGATACGAAGAATCGCATACAAGTGCTGTCTTTTTTTGTTCTGGAGTTGAACGAGCAACAGGCGGACCGACGGACAAAACCATTACATAAGAGGAATTTCTTTTTTTTTCAAAAAATTCCCCTAAAAATGGATTGCTTACACGCAGATCTAACTTTCTCACTTGTGTACCACTGTTTTCTGAAATTTTAACTGAAGCTGCTTCTTAAAACACGAATTGAAAACACATATGTCAAAGATTAGATTGTGGTAGCGCAGAGTCAATATTTTTTTAATTTGTAACGGATTTTTCAAAAATTTTGCTCATGCAAATATACGCATGGTCTAAAGGGCGTCTTTTCTCGTGTTTCGCGTTCAGTCTGATAATTGTTTCAAATTTAATAGATCAATTACTGTTTTAAATCTCTACAATAAAGTATCAAAATAGTTGGACGCAGTCACTAGACAACTGATTTTTTTTATAGAACACCCTGTATATTTTTAGTTGTTTAGATGTCATTTTTTAACCTCTGCATGTAAACCTATTCACTTTTTGGTTTTTTGTCATTGTTACCAAATTATTAATTTTTTTTCGAATAATTTACCATAAG